AAGATTGAAAATCCTTTTGTATTAAAAAATTTACATGGTAATATCTTATGCTATGAGAAAAATTTTCAATTCGGTAATTTGAGTAAGTAAAACAAACCTCGTATAAATGCATAACCTGGATATTCCAGGAGTCCTTGCTTTTTTTAAATCGGATCGAGCTCCAAAAGTTCTCCTCGAGAAAATATTTTGTCCACTAATTTCAATGCAAATAGATTTTTTTTCGTTCTTTCTCCAGGCATAAGTAATGCATCGAAAAAAGTGTTGCCGCCATCGATTGAATAAAGCTATAGAATTCGTAAATGAAGCGATACAAATAGTTAAAATAGTCTCATTTTACCAGTTCAGAAGGAAATGCCATCTCATTACTGTTTGATCGGCTTTCATCTACAGGTGATACTGTTTCTTCAATATCGACATATATCTGAAAATGATATAAAATACTTGAAAGAAAATACACTCAACTACTAAAGTCTACTTTGTTCTTCAGAAGCACTTTTTTTATTTTTTTTTGATTCTCCAGTATCAATTTTTGAGTTTTTTTCTTGACGCTCGTGATACGACAGAACTTGTTCGAACATTTTTCTTGCATATTGTCCATCAACTTCAGTCTGATTTAGCTAGTTTATGACATTCGTCTCAAAAGATAAATAATTCTCAATGTTGTCTTCACCATCATCTTCATTATTTCGATAATCTTTTGTTTTGGTGAGGCTTTTGGACCTTTTAGATGAAACTGATATTGTCTAAAACATAGAAAAACGTATATAAATAGGTTGCGAGCTTTTTACCAACTATATGATATATATTACTCTATCGATTTTTCCTCTCTTATATCAACTATCTGAAATCGATCCTACTCAATAACCATCAATCGTGCGATTAGTAGCAGATTCCTTCATGTCCGTAGGTGTATTTTGGTATTAAGTGATAAATATGGATAGTAGCTCTTTCTATACAGATATTTAATGTAAGTTTCCATATGTTATACTTTGATTCTGTTTTCTTTATTATTCCTCCTTTCTTTAAAAAAAACAAAAAAAACGAATGAATCAAAACAAAAAAGCAGCAAAGAATGTAATTCTCTCTCTCTTTCTCTTTTCCATTATCTACCTTCATTTATCCATCATAACGAATATCATAAAACGAACAACAGAACAGTTCCCATCCAATGTGATAATGTTATATCACAATAGAGATGGCACTCTTATGTCAGGAGAGACATCTCCTGACATAACACCATACATACTCAAATCTATTATAATTAATTATGTTGTATTTATATGGTGATCTGATTTTAACAGCAGTGCGAGAGGTCAGAGAAGACAAGGAAAGTTGAAAATTTCATTTAAATTCAATTCAATGACATCATTTTCATTGATATTCATGATAGTTCTAAAGTTATCAAAAGATTTTACAGGATTGATGAACACTAAGAACGATCATAAAAGTTTCTTAAGATTTCATAGAGCTTAATAGATTTATGAAAAATCTAGGGTACCCAATGAAACTTCGTACAATTTCGGATAAGTTCTTGAGATATCAATTTTTCAGTTGCTGTTATTTCTGCCTTGACTAGCCCAGCCACATTGTAGTTGCTGAATCAAGACATTTGCAACTAGATAGTACACACATTTATTTTTACATAGTTTATATATTAGTACATGCAGTTAACTTTCAAATAATTATAAACACTTACAGATGATATTCCTTTATAAGCTCGTTTGGTACCTGGTGTTAATGGAAATGGCTGGGAAGATAATTTTAATTCTTCATATTCGTCAGAAAAATCATCTTCATCATCATCTGGAATCGTATCCACCACCGGAGTATGAATCATATGTTTATCAAGTAAATTATTAATATGTTCAACTAAAAATGAGATAGTATCGTTGTTTTCCAGTTTAAAATTTACGTAATAGCAGTGTTTGCATATTCTTATTCTAGTTATTAAAAAAACTTAGTTGATACAAATGGTGCTGTTTTTTTTTTTTGATTATTAAATGATTTTTTTTATGAGAACCGCAATCTTAGAAAACAAAAAATGATAATTAATTTAAATTTATAAAAATGAAAATTAACTTAAGTTTATAAAAATTATTACCAGTTACTGGATCTGAAGTGTCTTCTGCAGAATTACTTATTGTTGCATCTATAAAAAAAAACAGATTCTAAATTACTGTACAATGTAAGTAATAGCAAGCACATTTACTTTTAGTTGTTTTTGAATGTTTGTTGACAACTGACGATGGAAATGAAGACGTTTGATTACTATTCCTGTTTAAGCAAGGAAATACACGACCGCCCAACCCACTTTTGAAAAACGTATTAGTCTTTTCTTGAGTAGTTGATGGTGTTGACGACATAGTAAAAGTTCTAGAAAAAAAATCATGAAAATTTTTTTCTTAATGTGAGATTTCAATCATGTTCAAAATCATTTCTAATTTCAGTTAAACAAAAAAAATCTCCAACTGGTACTGAAATACATTTATGTCGCACTTTGCTCATGGAAAGAATTTCAAACGAATCAGACTTAGATTTTACAGAATATAAACGATCAAGTGGCTCAATAATCTGACAAGTGGCAGTATCAGATATCTTCAGAAGAGATGATAAAGAATTATTTGGTGCTTCATCACGATAATTATTAATAAAAGCATAATAATCATTGTTACATTGAATAAATATAATACAATCACCAAAACGTATTTTATCATCTTGATCATGTTTATACGATATAATATGACTGACACATTTGAATTTATTATCATATAATGTTGAATGGAATGTAATGAAAGGTATCTTGAATCGTTTATAGAATTTTACTTTGTCAAATTGAATAAAGTCGGTCAACATCTCACGAAATTCTCCAAGTTGAGGACTATCAATAGATATTTCATCGACTCCATGCGGTATTTCAATATCAAATTTGGGTTGTTTTATAAGTAATGATATTTCAGTCCAATAGCTGATTTGTGAAGCGATATTGCGAGTACCATGTGCTTTTTTTCTTCGTATATCTAATACATGATTCAAATGCAAAAGCCGACGAATAGGATAAACCACCATGGTAACGAACTTGTTCAGCTAAATGAAGGTGACAATGTAAACTGTAGAGTTCGACTGATGGATCATAGATAATTGATGATGACTCACAGTAAAATCGTAATAATTTTTCAGCTAAATCAATTTCTGTTTCATTTTCAGGTGCATGAAGAAGTCTTATCGCAACCACATAGGCTGCAAAATGGAAAAGGTGTGTCGATGCTAATATATTGATTAATATTGGAAGGCCAACATATAGAACAAAAAGTAGGCCGTGTTTTGCCTCCCATTGACTTATTTCTTTGATCGAAAAATCGAAACGGATATTCATATTGTGTGGGATACGTTGGTTTAATAAGCGTTCGTCAATTAATGAAATATCTGTAGAATTCAGCAGCAATAGCCAATGCTTAACTAACATTCCAATATGATTAATGCACACCAAGTGCATATAATCATACAGCACCGACACCGGATACTTAATAATGCATACCAAAGGTGAAAAGCCTCGAACACCATCAATAATTGTTTCACGACCAGTATGATTATGTTCGGCAGCTGCTGCCTGTGCTGCATGAGCAAAATCATCGTGTGTACGAAGTTGCTCATTATTCTTTGCAAAAGGATAAGGCATCATACGGTAGGTTGAGTTGTATTCACCTATTATAAAGATGAGAAGTGAAGTTCATCTTTTAAAACCATCAGGGAAAACATAAAGACTACTGCTAATATGACAGAAAGTATCTAACTCACCAGGTGAACGACACCAAGTGCATGCAAATTTCCCGTTGAAATTGATCGTCTTTGGAAATAAAGACTTAGCAGGAAGGTCGGCTAAAAAGCCTTGAATACGAACTACGAAAAAATATTCGTGCCCGTTTAAAGAAATAGTAGTGCCATAATTCATTAGGGTTCGAAGTTGTCCGATTAGACCTCGCAGGAAAACATCCACGTCTGGNAAACTTATACTCATTAAACCAGTTAAAAATATAAGTGCAAAATTGTCACATCCTTCCTTCTTATAAGAATACCAAAGAAAAATATCCTTCTTAGTTCCCACTCACTTTTTTATCGTTAGTATTTTCATAGTAATAACGAAAATTCACAATATCTCCTACAGGAGTTAATTCATTTCTGTTCAAGAATAACTTGGCATTTGCTTTCATGATTCCATGAAGTCCAGTTCGAATATCGAGTGTAACACATTCCGTAACACGAGTATTGAGCAAATTCTGTTTGTGATATGAGCATTTTGAGTTTGTACATTTTCTGACACCATAACTGCTCTTCACAGTATCACCACCGCAACGTTCACAAATAAACTTAGTATAAAATGAACTGGTACGACCAAAAGCTTTTAAAATAGATTTGAGGGACGTTGGCAGCACATTCGGTTGCGGCAAAAGAGACTTAATAAGTTTCAACAATTTCATGACGCTTTGTTTGTCGAGATTCGAACTGGTGGCAAAACCAAGAACTAATTTTGTAGCGGAAATAACAGAATGTTCACTATTCGAATAAAGACGGGATGAATTATCAACGATGTTGGAATCATTAAGCATATTGTCATGTTCATCAGCAATGTAATCGATTAAATCATTATAACTTGTACCAGTTGTTCTTAAATTATTATCCATCACACCCCCAGTCATGACGCCAGTTTCATCATTCTCAAGACCATCAGAATCAGAACAAGACGTATCCACAGGCACCGTATTTGCGTGTCTACGTCTTTCCGCACGTCTTTGCCGCTGGGCATTAACTCTATTACTATAGTAAGCCTTCGACGACATTTAAACCAACTAGGAGAGCAGTAAAAATCCAACAACTGTACCTTGATATTGATAAATTTTAAAAGTCAATGCCAACGAAATCTAGAAAAAAAACAAAAATATAAATAGATTATTCCACGATTCAGACAGAATTCTACCTGATCAATCAGTACAAGTAAATAACCAAATAATACGTTCGCAAGTGTTTGAACACAACAGACCCTATCTAGAAAAAAACTACAAGAAAACATATAACTTCCAAACACAAAACCTACCTGAGATATAACAGCAAATCAATAAATTGATAATCAAACGGTAACTATCTCACAATAAATAATATCTAGAAACAAAAATTTTGCAAAACCTATACAACTTCTCCATGATTAATATTTACCCCAGATATAAGTATAAATAAATAAAATGATAATGAGTACGCAAGTCCGTGAATAATCAATAATATCTACAGCAAACAATACACACACAAATACAACTTTACCAAAAGAACCTACCTCAGAAATAAGTATCAATCAAACGATCAAACGAGTACGAAAGCACTTGAACAACAGATAATACCTAAAAAAATATACAAACCAATAAACAAATTTCCCAAAAAACCCATATCACCCCGGAGCGGTTTTGAAGGGTACGTTCTCGGTGAATAAAATGTGTCATGTGTCTATAAACGAGATGCAGAAAATTGGAAATAACAATTTGCATTTAGATGATCTAAGATTTTTTAAGATCAATTATCGATATAAGAAAAACAAAGAATTCATAGAAAATATAGTGTGAGTTCTAGTGAAATACTTATTCTTAATAGTGTGCTCTATCAACTCATATTTTGGCAGATATTAAGATTGGTCATGCGACAATAAAATTTATACTTCTTTTTCAAAATTATTTGGCCTATCTGACATCCAAACAAGTAAACCAAAAATTCTTTTTGTTTATTTTTTTACATCTCAAATTAAAGAAATAAACAAAAAAAAACAGAAATTCTAACTATGTAAAATAATTATTTTATTGAATTTTTTTCTTGATATAAATATAAATTAACATAGAATAAAATTTAGCTTAATGAGAAAAAAATATATGAGATAAAAGATCCTATCCTATGATGACAGATGATGATGTTGTATTTGAATATTGACTCAATGCAATTAAGATTAAATAAAAAAATAAGAACGACATACAAGAGAGAACAGAATAAGAATAGATCGCATATAGCTGAGTGGCTAAAGAGCGTGGATGACGCGACGCTGGTTCGAATCCAGTGCGAATCAATTTTTTTTTCTGTTCTGTACGTTGGTTTTCCATTGAATTTTGTCAAAATTTTTTTGGCTTACGGTCAGAGGTACCCTCTCGAGATCTCAACGGGGACGGGGGTAATTGACCACGCTGAATCTGAATATGCTATTTTTATTCACCGAGAACGTACCCTTCAAAACCGCTCCGGGGTGATATGAACATATTGGATGCTCAATTGAAGTCGACTCAAATTAATTTCAAAAGATTTGAAAAGTTTTTGCAAATGAACCAACTAGAAACTCGTGTTTATTAATAATATCTGTTGGAAAATTGCACTGNCACATAGGCTGCAAAATGGAAAAGGTGTGTCGATGATAATATATTGATTAATATTGGAAGGCCAACATATAGAACAAAAAGTCGGCCGTGTTTTGCCTTCCATTGACTTATTTCTTTGATCGAAAGATCGAAACGGATATTCATATTGTGTGGGATACGTTGGTTTAATAAGCGTTCGTCAATTAATGAAATATCTGTAGAATTCAGCAGCAATAGCCAATGTTTAACTAACATTCCAATATGATTAATGCACACCAAGTGCATATAATCATAAAGCACCGACACCGGATACTTAATAATGCATAACAAGGGTGAAAAGCCTCGAACACCATCAATAATTGTTTCACGACCAGTATGATTATGTTCGGCAGCTGCTGCCTGTGCTGCTTGAACAAAATCATCGTGTGTACGAAGTTGCTCATTATTCTTTGCAAAAGGATAAAGCATCATACGGTAGGTTGAGTTGTATTCACCTATTATAAAGATGAGAAGTGAAGTTTATCTTTTAAAACCATCAGGGAAAACATAAAGACTACTGCTAATATGGCAGAAAGTATCTAACTCACCAGGTGAACGACACCAAGTACATGCAAATTTCCCGTTGAAATTGATAGTCTTTAGAAATAAAGACTTAGCAGGAAGGTCGGCTAGAAAGCCTTGAATACGAACTACGAAAAAATATTCGTGCCCGTTTAAAGAAATAGTAGTGCCATAATTCATTAGGGTTCGAAGTTGTCCGATTAGACCTCGCAGGAAAACATCCACGTCTGGCTTTCTTCGGCTAGACCATAACCCTAAATGAAGTATATTACATTGATAATATCGATGTGGTGGTGGAATTTCTAAAATGCAGGCATATATTGGCCAAAGACTTTGTTTGGTACTTCGCACGAGAGGTGCTCCGTCCGCATGCAATAACAAAGTCAGTGTTTGTTCCTATAATGAAAACGCACCAAAGAGTAAAAAAAACATATCTTTAAACATTTTCTAAACTCATTTCTTTGTGTGAGACAAATTTAAGGCTAAAGATTTCAAGAGGATAGAACAAATATCGTAATTAGATCGAGAGGTGCAAAGATTGAAACTTATACTCATTAAACTAGTTAAAAATATAAGTGCAAAATTGTCACATCCTTCCTTCTTATAAGAATACCAAAGAGAAAATATTTCCTTCTTAGTTCCCACTCACTTTTTTATCGTTAGTATTTTCATAGTAATAACGAAAATTCACAATATCTCCTACAGGAGTTAATTCATTTCTGTTCAAGAATAACTTGGCATTTGCTTTCATGATTCCATGAAGTCTAGCTCGAATATCGAGTGTAACACATTCCGTAACACGAGCATTGAGCAAATTCTGTTTGTGATATGAGCATTTTGAGTTTGTACATTTTCTGACACCATAACTGCTCTTCACAGTATCACCACCGCAACGTTCACAAATAAATTTAGTATAAAAAGAACTGATACGACCAAAAGCTTTTAAAATAGATTTGAGGGACGTTGGCAGCACAATCGGTGGCGGCAAAAGAGACTTAATAAGTTTCAACAATTTCATGATGCTTTGTTTGTTGAGATTCGAACTGGTGGCAAAATCAAGAACTAATTTTGTAGCGGAAATAACAGAATGTTCACTATTCGAATAAAGACGGGATGAATTATCAACGATGTTGGAACCATTAAGCATATTGTCATGTTCATCAGCAATGTAATCGATTAAATCATTATAACTTGTACTAGTTGTTCTTAAATTATTATCCATCACACTCCCAGTCATGACGTCAGTTTCATCACTCTCAAGACCATCAGAATCAGAACAAGATGTATCCACAGGCAACGTATTTGCGCGTCTGCGTCTTTCCGCACGTCTTTGCCGCTGGGCATTAACTCTATTACTATAGTAAGCCTTCGACGGCATTTAAACCAACTAGGAGAGCAGTAAAAATCCAACAACTGTACCTTGATATTGATAAATTTTAAAAGTCAATGCGAACGAAATCTAGAAAAAAACATAAATATAAATAGGTTATTCCATGATTCAGACAGAATACTACCTGATCAATCAGTACAAGTAAATAACCAAATAATAGGTTCGCAAGTGCTTGAACACAACAGACACTACCTAGAAAAAAAACTACAAGAAAACATATAACTTCCAAAAACAAACCTACCTGAGATATAACAGTAAATCAATAAATTGATAATCAAACAGTAACTATCTCACAAAAAATAATATCTAGGAACAAAAATTTTTGAAAACGTATAGAACTTCTCCATGATTAAAATTTACCTCAGACATAAGTATAAATAAATAAAATGATAATGAGTACACAAGTCCTTGAATAATCAATAATATCTATAGCAAACAATACACACACAAATACAAATTTACCAAAAGAACCTACCTCAGAAATAAGTATCAATCAAACGATCAAAGGGGTACGAAAGCACTGGAACAACAGATAATCCCTAAAAAAATATACAAACCAATAAACAAATTTCCCAAAAAACCATTACTTCACATATAAGTGTAAATAGGTGAACCGATAATAACTATGCAACTACTTGAACAATAGAAAATATCTAGATAAAAAACAATAAATAAACAGACTCACAACTTTGCCAAGAAAAAAATATACCTGAGCTATACATGAAAATCAATAAACCAATGATAACTATGCAAGTATCTCAACAACAGACAACATCTACAAACAAAAATAAATAAGAACATATACAACTTTACGGAAAAAATCTAACCAAAATATAAACAGACATAAGCTAATAATGAATACACCAGTACTTGAATAATAGATAATATCTAGAGAAAAAAATATATATACATGCATATATAAGATTAACAAAAATAATCTACCTCAGAGATAAGTTTAAATAAATAAACCAATAATAAGTACGCAAGTAATTGAATAGTAGATAGTATCTAGACAATATATATATACATAAAAATAGAGAAGTTTAACAAAAAACTCATTTACCTGAGACATATGTATAAACAAATACACAAAAAATAAGTACGCAAGTACTTCAACAATAGATAATATCTAGAGAAAAACATATATACATATAGATATATAAAAGTACAACAAAAAAAAAGTACCTCAGATATATGTATAAATAAATAAACGAATAATAAGTACGCAAGTACTTCAATAATAGTTAACATCTAGAGAAAAATATATATATATAAATATATGAAAGTTTAAGAAAAAAAATGTACATGAAATATATGTATAAATAAAGAGATAATAGGTACGCAAGTACTTAGCGATAAAACTATATTTGCAAGAAGAATTTTTGGAATATTAATGAATGAATGTACAGGCAACATATGGACGCGGTATTGAATACTAGATGACAGTACGAGCGAAATAGGTGATAAAATTACAAATCCTTAATTGGAGAAGAGGATTAAGTCAATCTACAAGATAAAATCTTGAGACACAACAAAAGCAGTGCATATTATCGGCTGAATACGTAAAATGAGTGAAAAATTTCTGGAGAAAAAGCATTAAGATTTTCTATAGTCGATAGTGAAATGAACGAAATCGGACGGTTGACGGTAGCGGTTGGCCAATTAGATAATTTTACAGCGCCATCTATAAAAGAAATTTGATTGTCTTCTGGAGTGCGTGAATTGGCATTCTTTGTGTAGAACTTGATACAAAGTCCCGCAGTTCATCAAGAGTTATAGTTTGGATGCACTTATCTGAAAATCGGTAATTAAAAATAAGCCGTCGGTTAACCGCGGTTTACTGACGGTAATATCAGAACCGCCGGATACCGGCGATATCTATATAAAAGTGACGACATGGGAACTTTTTCAATGTCAAGCATGTCACACTGAAAACTCAGAGATTTTATTATTGTCTACAAACGAAAAAAAACATAAAAAAGAGGAATCACACATTCAGAAAGAAACTTCAGTTTTCCATTAAAATTTCTTCGAAACTTGAGTTAACGACGTCCTTCGTTGTTTATTTCGCTCGATCAGTTTCTTCAAACAATCTGTAAGTCTTATTCCGATTTCATTGGAGAAGAGATCTAGTGTGGTGAGTGTCTATATGAAAAAAAATGCAGATAAGAATATGACAGAGATTAATAGAGGCTGAGAATCACCGTGTTGTCTAGAAATGCTTCAATCAGATGTTGTGCTCCAATATCTCTGATCTGATTGTAGGAGAGACCTAATGTGATGAGTGTCTGTGTAAAAAAGTGTAGATAGAGATGTGAAAGAGATCAGAAGAGAATGAAGGTCACCGTGTTATATCGTAATGCATTAGCTAGATGTTGTGCTGCTTTGTCTCCCATTTGATTGTGGGAAAGATTTAGCGTGGTGAGTGTCTGTATGAAAAAGTGCAGATGGAGTTATGAAAAACATGGTGAGAGGGTGGGAGTAACCCTGTTATATCGTAATGCATCAGCTAGATATTGTGCACCATGGTCCCTGATTTGACTGTGTTCAAAAATTAGTGTTTTAAGTGTCTGTATGAAAAATGCAGAGAGAGATATGAAAGAGATGAATAGAAAATCAAGCTCACCATGTTATTTTGTACTGCGTCAGCTAGACGTTGTGCTCCAAGAGCTACAATCCCATGGCAGGAGAGATGTAGTGTGGTGAGTGTCTATGTGTAAAAGTATAGATGGGAATAGAAAAATAATGAATAGAGAATGAGGATTACATTCTTATAATATTGTAATGCATTTGCCAGACCTTGTACACCATAGTCTGTGATTTTATTGGCAGAGAGATTTAGCGTTGTGAGTGCCTGTGTGAAAAATGCACATGATGGTATGAGAGAGTTAAATATAGATTGAGAATCACCGTGTTATTTTGTAATGTATTAACTAGATATTGTGCACCGTCGTCTCTAATTTGATTGGAGTAGAGATTTAGTGTGGTGAGTGTCTGTGTGAAAAAATGCAAATGAAGATATGAGAGAGATGAACAGAGAGTTAGGCTCACATTGTTATTTCGTAGTGCATCAGCTAGATGATGTGCTCCTTTGTCTCCGATTCGATTGAAGTATAAATTTAGTTTAGTGAGTGTCTGAAAGAAAAAGTACAGATAAGAATATGAGACAGGTGAATGGTAAATGCGGATGACCGTATTATTTTTTAATGCATTAGCGAGATGTTGTGCTCCATAGTCACCAATTTTTCCGGAACAAAGACTTAATGTGGTGAGTGTCTGTGTGAAAAAGTGAGGATTTGAATATGCAAGAAATGAATGGAGAATGAGATCACATCGTTATCTCGTAATGTATCGCCCAAATGTTGTGCTCCTTTGTCTCCGATTTCATTGAAAGAGAGATTTAGTGTTTTCAGTGTCTGTATGAAAAAGTGTAGAGGAGAATATAATAGAGATATAGTATAGAATGAAGATCACTGTATTGTTTTGTAATGCATCAGCCAGATGTTGTGCTCCTTTGTCTCCAATTTCATTGAATTCCAAATCTAGCGTGATGAGTGCCTATGTGAAAAAGTGTACATAGGGATATAATAGAGATATAGTATAGAATGAAGATCACCGTGTTATTTCGTAATGCATCTGCCAAGTGTTCTGCTCCGTTGTCTCCGATATGATTGAAGTATAGGTTTAGTTTAGTGAGTGCCTGTAAGAAAAAGTACAGATAAGAATCTGAGACATGTGAAGGGTGAATGGGGATGACCGTATTATTTTTTAATGCATTAGCGAGATGTTGTACTCCGTTGTCTCCGATTCGGTTGTGTTCGAGATGTAATATTTTGAGTGTCTGTGTGAAAAAGTGAAGACAAGGATATGAAAGACACGAATAGAGAATAAAGATCACTGTGTTATTTCGTAATACATCTGCCAGATGTTGTGCCCCGTTATCTCCGATTTGATTGTGTTCGAGACGTAGTATTGTGAGTTTCTGTGTGAAAAAGTGAAGATTGGGATATGAAAGAAATGAATAGAGAATAAGGGTCACTTCTTTATTTCGTAATGCATCAGCGAAATTTTGTGCACCTTTGTCTCCGATTTCATTGAACGAGAGATTCAGTCTTGTGAGTGTCTATATGAACAAATGTAGATAGGAATATAATACAGATGAGTAATGCATGAAAATGACCATGATATTTCGCAATGCATCAGCCAAATACTGTGCACCGTAGCCTGTGATTTGATTGGACTCGAGATCTAGTGTAGTGAGTGTCTGTATGAAAAATTACAGATGGAGATATGAGAAAGATGAATAGAGAATGAAGATCACCGTGTTATGTTGTAGTGCACTAGCTAGATTTTCTGCTCCGTTGTCTCCAATTTCTTTGTGTTTGAGATCTAGTATAGTGAGTGTCTGTGTGAAAAAGTGAAGCTGAGGATATGAGAGAGATGAACAGAGAATGAAAATGACCTTGTTATTTCGTAATGCATCAATTATATGTTGTATACCGTTGTCTCCGATTTGTATGTGTTTGAGACATAGTGCTTTTAGTGTCTGTGTAGGAAAAAAACGCAAACGATGCTATTTTATAGTGAATAATAGAAGGAAGAATAAATTTGAATTCTTTTGACTGATACGTGAACAATGAAGACACAAGGACATTGTACTGAAAAAAAATTCGGTATTAATTTCAAATTGAATTTACAAGTGCCTACACCAGTGAGTTTAACGCATCAATCCTAACTGAAAAAGGACCAATACAATGAAATCAAAATACATAATTATAGCATATATTCACGGACCGAAATGTCACTCTTGCCTCTTCTTGGTAGTTAATTATTGACTGATGAAATTTGTTAACAAAATAGCTACCGTTCTAATTTGTTTCTTTCAGATACAGATTTGTTCAACATAGCAATGTAACTTATTTTTATGCTTCAGTCGCTATTCACTTATTTTCTATAGTTCATCATATTGACAATATCTATCTATCGAT